CCCACTACCACCAACACGATCCGTCATTGTAACATCATACTTCTTTGGTCAAATCGGAAATCATACCTGGGTTTCCATAGAATTGCTCTGTTCTCTGTCTGTTCAAGATAAAGTCATGGGTGAGATGCATGTACTCTCCTCTCTGCCCGCAGCCACGTGGCTGTTTTACATACGGGGTATCCCCGTACAGGGAGTTCGGCTTGTCCACGATCACGTGAGCTTTGTCGAGAACCTGCGTGGTTGCTTCGCGGAACTCGCCGGCAGCAGACCACGTGGAGGGGACCAGTATCGTAATGTTCCTGAAGTAGGCCCGTTTTTGCGTAGCTAAGTAAAGTGCACGTGATGCCTCGGTCCAATACGTCTGAAAGTAATTTGATATTTATTGAAATTTGCGCAACAACATATAGCACCTGTTCTGTGTAGGGCTTTTTTAAAGGTAACTTTTTAAAAAGTTTATAAAACCTATAGAGTTACACTGAGCTGAGTTGGACAATAATGCAAGCCTGTGCCGCTGTTAAACGTAAACCCCAAAAAGTTTATTACGGCGAGTTGTTCTTCTCCTTAGCATTCTGTTTAATAAAAATTAAATAAGAGATTTTTTTTTGCCTGGGCAGCCGCAGGTATGGACAAATATACATCTATTTCATACATTTATAATAAATACCTGCAGGTTGACGCATTACACAAATTGCATTATTATCAGAGTACAAGTGAGCCTATCATACCAGCAGTGTTGTTATAAAAATGCAACGTGGAAAAATTGAGTAAAATATTAATAGAAATATGTCGCACATGGTTATCTGAACCAGCTGCCTTGCCTTTGTTCTGCTGGTGATACTGACGCTCTTTGTCCCTGCGTTTCTGTGTGCCGAACGCTTTTAATATTCGAAATATGAACCATAACCTTCATAAATGCTAGAAATTCCCTGGTGTTTCCACCAGTGGTCGTGGTAGGCAGATGTTAAGGTATTAGCAATTCACCCTTAGCCAAGAAAAGAAATTGGACTGATTGGGTAAAATAAAATAAAGTAAAGAAATAATGGAAAATATTATATATTGCAATAAGCGTTTTGTCTTCTTTATTCTTCTCGGGAAATACATCGTAAGTCCTAAATGTTAAGGGAGAAAACTTATACTTGTTAAAGTAATTAATAGTGCATTTCTCTCACGCAGCTGTTTATATTCTCTTCTTCTCGTCATCTACAAAACAGCGCCGAACAAAGGGATTTGTCTTTTATCTTAAATCTTTATAGAGAAACAGCTGTGATAATTGCACTCTCTAATAGGAAAATTTCGTTCCTTCCATTTTTAAACGTAAAACTCAAACGCACCATGTAATAATTATGTAGAAAAGAACAGCTTAGCGAATACATTTTTTGTTACTATATCTATATTTATGGGGCAAAATTATTGAACCTGAGCTAATTTCGTAATCTTGTTTAATGGGGTCACCCGCAAGAATTCCACCCGAATTAAGGTAATCATCACAGTTAATGTAACGCAATATTACGATGAAAGCTTTGAAGTGCAGAAGGTGCGCACGTGGTGTGTCATTTAACCCATGACACTGAGTTTATAGGCAGGAACAAATTGAATTCAAACCCAAACAGTCGCGGTAGACTTTGAAGTAATACGCCGAGAGAATAAAAATTCGATTGCTTTTTTCGGATTTTCCGCAAGAGACTTCTACATGTGTGAAGTTTGTTAAGCATATTAACAATTTTCTTTGCTTGAGAACTAGCGTTACTGACAGTTTATGTCGTGCTTTCGAGCGTTGTCGACAGTAATCACAGTTTCAATATTTACATGTCTTACAAGGCAAAATACATGTCTCTGAAAAGTTAACCACACCCTCCAATTGTGAAGGGCAAAAACTATGTGAGCGTTATATCTATATATACATATATAAACACAGGTGTGGAATTAAAGATATATATCGCAAACTAGAGCAGGTCATTTAAAGAGCTTTTTCGCGCAAAAAAATGTGGAGGGTCAACGCATCTAAAGGGATGATTTGCCCTGGCTAGTTATTACATACCCTACTACACGTAGTTTAATTTATGCGTCATATTTTACAGAAAAAAAACTATGTATTATACAGAATTCAGTGATATCATTTTTTCATTTTCTCTTCTGTAAAGAGAGATTTTTGTGTAAAGAGAGATTCAAAAGAGCTCACACGGAAGAGTCGGTCATGCGATCGAGGGCCTCTGATAAGAGGCTCAAACCACGATTCATGTCGCACAGGTAAAACATTTTGAGTTTCAGGTTTCTGTAGAAATGATTTATTTCTGTAAAATGATTTACCTTTATTCTCAATTTCAATACTGGATGCTATATTGAGCTCAGCGTGCTTTCGCCGTTTGTTCTTTACCTTTAGAGTTGATTAATTCACATTTCTTTTCTTATCTAAACCAAGAATACCGTTTATAATTCAACGAGATTTTATTGTTGTGCACTATTTCGCTGCACAATATATGGAACACGGCATGGGTCGTTGCACTGTACCTCTTTCTGTGTCACGTCTTTTCGTTTTCGCATCAAAAGTTTTGCCACTTATAATCAGTCCAATTTCATTCAACAGAAAATAATTAGATGTATTCTTTTTTTTTCTTTTTCCAATCTCCTGATAAATGGGTGAAATGTAAAAGCTAGGTGGAATCACTCCTACTTTCAACCCCCCTCGCCCCAAAAATGGGGGGGGGGGGGGGAGGCAAAGAAGGTTGTATCTTACACTTGGTACTGCGAAAAAATAGCTTTACGTTTTATTTAACACCCAGTCGCTCGGGTTTAGGGAGATCAGCCCTCCCCCCGCCCCCCTCCATATATCCGGGATCCACAGTTGAGCGCTTTTATACACGTACTATTCGCTATGTATACAATGCCAATGCGACCTATATTTGTTTACGAATGGGGGTGTACTTCGATCGCTAACGTATTGGTACAGGTATTTTAAGGGCCGTGACACATTAGGTAAACAAAAGAGGGGTTATTTGTTTTATTTCAAACGCAATGTCGGACATATTCTGCCTGGAAGAACTGTTGAGTCGTCAATATTTGATATTGATTGGAGTTTGACATAAACGTGTCACCATGCGAAATTCTTACTACTTTCTGTAAAATGTAAACAAAACAAAACAAAACAAAACAAACAAACAAAATAGCAACTCCTAATTATGGGCCCGCCAAAGGCGTCCGAAATACAACGGAGGGAGGTCGAAAATTCTATCAACAGCAATAAGGAGAGGGTTACTCGGGACTCGCTACTAATACCCTCTGCATAGTATGACTTGGCGTTTTTTTGTCATTGTGTAATATAAAAGTACTGTGGATGTGAACTGAAGCCCTTCCTGGTTCACAGGTAAATTAATGTCCTATATCATCTGCACTTCTATTTCGCAATACCATGTCTATAATTCGATGTCATTCAAAGTCATTTTGTTTTAAATACAAATCCATTTAAACAGTAATTACAAACAAAGTATAATGTTTTCCTACCTTAAGGTTCTTTAAAAGCTGGTCAGATTGGGGAACAGCGTCTCCTATGGCAATTAATAATCCATCGTAGCCGTTGTTTTTCAAAACCACGGGCGATCGCCTGGCCAGTGGAATGTCCGGCGCTTTCTCGGACGCTGTCTGGCCAATGGTAGAGATGACCACGAAGAATAACGCTGTCCGCGCCGTCATGTTGAAAGTAGTTTTATTTTCCCCCACAGCAGTCGTGCAGTGTGTGTATCTATATATATAAATATATCTATGACGTGAGCTTAGGAAACCAAAACAAACCCGTCAAGCAAATGCAATTGTTCAAAACCAACGAAGTGGTTTTGTAGCTTTGTATGACAAGGTTCACTGCATGAAGCGATCTAAATGTTCACACCGGGGTGAGCGTGCACGCACATATATACACGCGGGCACGAGAGCGCGGGCATCACAACAATGACGATGTGTCATACGTTGCGTAGGTTTGCTTGGCAAGTCTAAGCCTTTGTTTGGAAAAAGCGAATCAGCTGGTTGAATACACTGATCCATTCTGACCTCTGTTTTTGTCATGTATATTGTGTTGTCTTGGTCACGTGAGCCAGATCTTTGTTCGTGCTTTAATAGAACCAAATACACAAGGAAGAAGTGGTATTAAACTGGAGTTTCGCCAATATTATATTTACCTGTGTCAGTTACGAATTCCTTGCGTATTTACCAGATAAAATAATTCTGTACAGGTGCGCGTATATATTCTGCTGAAAATGATACCATCACAATTCCGCGTAAAGCTTTATTTTTTCAATAATAATAATAGTAAAAATAGTAAAAATAATAAAACGTTCCCTGTATTGAGCGAAATAAGCACAACAATATGCATTATGTAGAGCTGAAAAACTGGTACTCCGTTTTTAAATACTTAGGTCAGGGGCTGTAGGCTGAGTGAAATGCTGGGGGCAGCTGTTGAAGTCGTACAGTGTACCTGTCAGCAGGTTATTTGTACCGCCTCCGGTACCCGTCTCGATACTGACCGAAGGACAGACTCGGCCTCGGAGAAAGGAAAGCCTAACAGCTTGATAGATGCCCAAAAATTCTTTTAAAAAAATCTTTTCTTTTCTTTTCTTTTTTCTTTTTTCTTTTTTTTTTTTTTTTTTTGGGGGGGGGGGGGTTCACCTCCTCTACCACCACTTCCTACCCCCCGCATATTAGGGACCTGAAGAAAAACATTCTTGTTCTTAAATGCAATGAGGAAAATAAAGAAAGAAAGCTTTCTTTTTCTTTTCCGATCCCACTGACCGTGAATGCGCTCAAGTTTGACCGGGTATACCCATTCTCGTACCTCACTTGCCAAGGTAAAGCTCCAGATAAATATTGACTTCTCGCCGTGCTCCATTGGTGTCATAATAAGTCATTATATATCAAACTAACCCAATTAGACATTTCCCCTCCCTTTGTGCATGTACTAAACCTTAAGCGACGGCAAGTTATTATTTCAACATAGGGGCCATTCCCAGACCCCATCGTACTAACTGTGGATCGATCTATCTCCAAGTAGATTATCTCTAAATTGCAATTCACTTAGATGTCCGTTACGCCTACTGAAGCTGTTAGGGGGTAATTAAAGATCGTTTAGCAGCTTCAGTAGGCGTGCCAGACATCTAGGCCGCTTAAGGGGGGGGGTAGTAGGGTAAAATGGCCTTAAAATCATGTTTGTGATTTTTTTTGTATGTTAATATTTATCAAAAAGTATCTAACATTGAATATAATAATGTTTTGGAGTTTGCACCGCAAAATGTGTCTTTTGATGAGTTTTTCAGAAAATGTTACAAAAACACGATTTTCTGGCATTTCAAAGCACCTAAACAAAATATATCTAGATGACAATAAGCATTGGTTCCATCTCATCGTATTACCGATAACAGGTAAATTTCTCAGCTAAGTATTTCTCTAATAAGATCTGCAAATCAGCCTGTGAACGTTTTTGGCTGTTTTAACAGCTTTTCAGGTTGACGAGATAAGTGAATCGGTTCCAAGTACAGGCCCGTAGCCGGGGGGGGGGGGGGGGGGGTTCGAACGATCCACCCTTATTTCTGAGAAAAGGTCCGCTCTGAACCAAAATTTGCTCTAGGTTCTTTGTCATTTCTCAAGTCAAGTTGGGTCCACTTAGGGGGTTCGTTGTCTATTTAAAAGTTATATGGGGGAGCCTGTATGTAAATAAAGCCTATGTAGCCAGCTGATCGCTATCTCTGTCTTTTATGAAAACATAAAAATACATCACATGTAGGTCTCACGGTAAAAAGGTCCACTTTTTTCGGAAAAAGAATCCCCTTTGAAATTGTTGGCTACGGGACTGAAGTATATCTCACTATCTGAGCAACCGAATGTACGAAAATTGCACTATATAATTGTTGTTGGGGATGTGAACTACAGAGAGATATCAGGGATTTTGGAGGAAATTGTTTGTTTGAAAGTTTGTTTGAAAGTGAAGTGAATAACCCATTGAAATATGGGGTAATTTAACACAAAAGACGATAAAGTCAAAATGAAATAGTTAAAGACAATTCTCTGGTATCCTTTTATAATTCTTTCACCCAGCTTTACGATGTCGTTTGAACCACTTGAATAGCTTTCTTGGTTATGGAGAAAATCTCAAAACCAATAACGGTATTTTCCCCCCATAATGGCGCTATGGACAGCGTCATCCATTGGAGATTGCACTTTTAGAATCTCTGTTTTAAATTGGCCTTTTGGGAAGTACGTTTTATATTTTCATAAAAACTTGTGAGAACAGGGCATTGTTTCTATGTCTTTGGTTGTTTTACTACTACTGCCCTTAAAAGCTTGAAGCAATTTAGCGAGAAACCTCTCGGAGATGGTTCGATCCTGTTAAATCAATGTAGGCATGGGAACCCAGTCATAAAATTTTATAAACAATTGGTTTGTGTTACAAGTTTTGTTTTTTAACGAGTATATGCTTAATGCCTGAATAGGCCTACTCCTAGATTTAAGATTAACTGATCCCGAATAGTGATAATGTACGTGTGCAAAAAAAAAAAAACAGAATAATAATTGCGGAGACGTGATAGAGAAATACAAGTCAAACACGTGTCTGTGGTCCTGAATCTTTCTACTTTTATTACAATTATGTGGATTAACAGGTCTAGTGTAGTTAACACGTACTGTCAAAAATCGAAATGTGTGAAACCAAGGAGTCCCAACAACTACCTCCTTGGTGAAACTAACTTTGGGTGAAAGATGTCCTCCATGCTGAACAACTGTCCATTAAGAATCAGAACCTTTTTTATCATTTTGCTCATTTTTTTGGTTCCTTCACCAAAATAAGAGATGTATCAGAGTTAGAAATAAAGATAAGTTAATATGACTACAAGTTGAGGTATTGAGGTATATAATATAATATAATATAATATAATATAATATAATATAATATAATATAATATAATATAATATAAGGTAGTGATCGTGCACTACGAAGCCAATTAAAGTGAGAAACGTGTATCACAAAATATCATATTTTTGGTTTTTAAAGTGATTTCATTATGGTGATACTGTTTACAATGAATTGAATTCAAATACCAAATTTTAGAATTTGTAATTCTCAGCGACAGCAACCTTAGTGCTCCACTGTTTATTACATAAACCCAACCAGAAAAAAACGCCTTTGTGTGTTCGCTAAATACCTCTATAGGTATGTCATCAGAAAAATCTGAATACTGAAAAGAAAGGACAGTGGGAAAAAGAGACAAAAACCCAATCCGTGAAATTTAGCATAGCAGAGAAAGAAAAAATAAAGATATTCTAAATGAATAAGATTGACAGGTAATTGGACCAATTTCTACTTTTTGCTTCTGGGGATATTGGTTGGTTTCACGTCAGAACGGGTTTCCTGCATAACAAGGGGTTTGAACACATATTTATCATTAAACTGCTCAAATATATACTGCCACTGCCACAAACACAGGGTGCCCACAGGTTCAGTGATGGTGACAGTTCTGGTTATTTTCCGTTCCTGGCTCCATTGCGTTTCGTAGGAGGATGAGTAAGAACCACTATAGGTGACGCTGGCTGTAATGACTTTTTTGGCCACTTCAATGGTCATTTCCCATGAATTTGTTAACGTCGAGGACTCGGTTTTAGTGACGCCAGAAGTGAATTCATACGACAAAGTCCCAGCGCTTACATGACCCCAACAGTTGATTTTAACCCATTGTCCGACAACTGATGGGTATGGAATAACCTGAACTTTCTGGAGGTGATAGTTAACAAAGTCAAACTGCATATTTGCGAAAGTTCCTGCGTGTATCATCGTATCGGAATGCAAGCGTGGCATTTCACCGTTATATGGGTACGGGTGAACATATTTGCCCCCAGAATGTTTGATGTAGCCCTTTTCTTGGTCGATTGCAAACAATGCAGAATTGTAGCAATTTGGGTGTGGGAAAATTGCTGTATTATCTCCTGGTTCAGCCCAGCCACCGAAGGGATTCAAACAATGTCCGCCACTGCCCACGACCTTCAGTTAGCCCCAGTGACCTTCCTTCTGATGCCATTCTAGTTCAGCCGCTTTGGGGCAATCGTCTGCACGGAATTTTTCATAATGATGGCCCCAAGACCACCAATGAGCATAGGCGTAACATCGGCCGCTAGACCTGTGCCTAACAAGGAACCTAGGGCTGACGTATCCCCCTGCAAACCAAAGTAACCGTCTGTCATTTACTAATTGGACGACATTATCATACAAACCAGTCGTTCGCCATATTGGTTAATTAACCACTCAATCGAGCTGTTTCACAATCAATCAATCAACTAATGAAGTTATTGAAATTTTAATAATTTAATTACATTGTCATCCATACAACAAATGAAACGATTGAATAAATCATCGATCAATTGCAAAAAAAACATCAGCTGAAAAACTAATTAATAAACCAAGAGATCACTAAAACGACCCTTCAACTTGATTACCAAACTAACATCGTTCCATGTCTCAACCTAAAATCGATCAATCAATCGATGAAACGACGTTAGGAAGCAAAACCGTCATCGATATATATCAGTTGAAGCAGTTCACTGAGTTTATTACCCCCTTTTTGCAAGGAAAATAAAGGGGTTGTCTTTCCAACCCCTTGTTACCTTATTTCAAGTGGCAAGAAAAAGAAATATAACACTAGCTTTTACCTTGACTGTGTTTTGCTATAGTGATTGACCTATTCAACTTGGCATGCGACTGATTGGAGAACACATTTCTTGCACTCTCTGACCTCCTTCGAATTTGGACCATTACAATTTCCATTAAATTACAATATGTGATAATCAACATCAAATTCATGAGTGTGAACTTTGAATTTTATTTCTTTTTTTTTTTTGTTTCATATTTGTCAACGAGCTTTCCTAGTCGTGCAATCCATCTGCGAAAAACAACCTTGGTTTTTCAGTTCAAGACTCAGAGATTGCAGATGTACATGTTCTTGGACAT